CTGTCAGTCACAATCTGAAAGATTTAAAGGTAAACACGTCAACACGAATAGATGGTCAGTAAATTTAGTTCTTTAAAAAGTTTGGTCGTGAGATTATCTTCTCAAGGTTAATTAAAAGAAAAAACAGCTTTTAATATTTTCCATTGACAAAACCAGGTAAATCCAAGCTAGTCATGCTTTTTTCTTTTTTGGATATTTAACTTCTTATTTGGTGAATTTTCTCAAGACAAGTTGAAAATTTCATGAGTTTTACCTTCAATTTTTTTAATGTTTTTTTTTATTCCACTCAGTCATATAATATGGCAAATTGTTAGTTATATAGTGGTTTGAATTTAGATTGATCCAATGAATGTCAGTGTMTTTTAAATTTGCTCCAACTTTGAGCTTTGGGATAACAAACATCGACAGTGCCACATTTCTTAGGTTTATTTAAGTTGGCCTGAGTTGCAACAGAATCCTATTAAACAGATGGCAAAATGTGAAATAAATAAGTAAATGCAGAAACTGTAACTTAGATGAGAAAAATGGCAAAGAAAGTTAAAAATGTCTTCTTTTTTTTTGTTTTTCCTGACAGGTATGAGCAGGATAAGAAGGCACAGGCTAAAGAAGTGACTGAGTCCTGAGGATAATCTAACCCCCTGCTGCATCACTGCTGACTCAAAGGGAGACTTCATCATCATCTTCATCACATCTACACCATAACCATATTCCACCACATTAAGCCTCAAATCCCTGTAGGAAATATACACTTTAGGTTTCAGATTTCCTCAGGGTGTAAACAAAATGAGAAAATGAATTTTTTGTTGTTTTTACAGTAACTCATAAGACTGACGTTTATGAACGCACAAGTTTTCTGCTCCTAGTGTCTGATTTAACATTTTGATTCATACCTGCTGCACTAACGGGGAAGTTTTGTTTGTTTTTCTCAGTCATCTTTTATCCGTAGCAATCAGAACCTCAGGCAAGTTTCCTTCAAACACTTTGAATGTGGGTTAAGGAATGTTGGTGTGAATGATTTCATCATTTATCTTTAATGCCACGTTTTATAAAGTCCAACTGTACCTCGGCAGTCATTAAAATCATTAAGTACCATGTGACAATTCCTTCCATTTTAAGTTCTTTTAATCTGAGAATAAATCCTGGTTTTAGACTTTGTTTAAATTGTAGGAAAATACTGTTGTATTTTAACGGATCAACGCAGCGAGTCGATGAGCAAACACTGGTACTGACTTAACAGTTGTCATTAACCCTGCTCTTTAAGGCCTTGTTTAGAAAAGTTTTACATTTGTGTCAAATTATTTTTTATTCTAATTCAGATGGTATTTATCTAGAAATCCATTTATTTAGCAATAATTGTTGACTGTTTTGCTGTTTGAACAAGTGAAACTTGATTTGATCATTACATGTATGAATAGTGGCTATAAAATAAATCTTGTCMAACAGGGCACCTCAGAGCTTCACTTGATTATTTTACAGACTTTAGTCACGTTTAATGTTGAGTTTCAGAACATGTTAAAGATTCTGTGACCCGTGATGGACTTGTGACCTGTCCAGGGTGTACCGTGCGCCCCCGCAGTGACCCCCGTGACTCTGAAAGGAAGAAGCGGCTATAGATGATGGATGCTATTTCTGCTCAACAAGGTGCTTTATCTTGATGCAGCATCTCAGTTCTGAATAAATGAAAACGCACAACTGGGGATTTACCACAATTTTATTCACAAGCATAAACAAGAAGTCGGTTTTAGCGTTTTCCTCCAACACGGGGCGCGTTAACCTTCATGGGCTTGGCGATCTTGGGTTTCTGTGCAGCCTTGGCAGAGGACTGCAAGAGGAGAAAGACCATTTTAATACAGCAAACTTTTCAACAGCTCAAATCTACGACTTGATTTTAAAAAAGGCAAATCTTACCTTTGCACTCGGTGCAGCTGGTTTTTTGGCTGCCTGCTTTGCCTTCTTGGCCTCCTTTGCAGCTCTAAAAGAAAAATAAAATAATTCTGAATAACTTCCAGGGATCAGGGTTTCCCCTACAAGAGGGTGGGCAGCCCCAACAGACTCAGTTTTTAATATTTTCTTGTACATAACAAATATCTTGTTAATTAACAGTTGGTTTCTGTTCTGGGAGCGCGGCAGTTTATTTTAGCAGCATGCAGAAGTTCACTTGTGTGGCAGGCCATTATTACATTTAATTGGCTTCACCACACTTTCATTCCACATATCTGAAATTGTTTTATGACTATTAGTTATTGAAGTGAGAGACATATAAGATTCAACTAACAAAGGTTTAGTTGCAGACTTTCATGTTCTGTAATTTTATTTAAAAAAGGCTGCACACATTTGTGTTCAGTTATGTGTAAACTCACATTATGATCAATCTACATCAGAATAGTAACTGGTTCGACCAAGTCACATCGTCGTCATTCTATTTTTTTTAACTGAATAAAGCATCACTGCCCATTCAGTCAAGAATACATCACTTGATTTACTTCAAGTTTGCAAATCAGATCATAGAGTATAACAGCAAAAAGCTCCAATTAACATCTTTACAGGTTACTGTGGTCAAATGTGACATGTAGGTAAGAAAAGGGAAGATGGTTTCAGGTTTGTCCTCCTACCTGATGGCCTGCTCCCTCTGGGCCTTGCGGACCTCAGGTTTCTGATTCCTCTTGGCCAGGATCTCAGCCAGGGAGGCTCCAGTGATGGCCCTCTGGGACTTCACTGTGCGGCGGGTACGCTTCTTTGCCACTTCTTCCTGTTAACAAACAAAGCACACTTATTCGTAACGTAAAATCTGAACAGGAGTATCACTAACCTAACTTGCAAAAACTTGAAAAGTTTAGCCAAAGCCCTAAAATTCAGAGAAGCCTCAACCTTTTGCTAGTCTTCAACAAAAACGTGTTGTAGAGACAATACAGACAAATGATAGCTGTGATTTCTGATTCTGACTTGTTTACAAACATACAGTGATACAAGCTTGTCTCTGGATGTGTACATAACCAAATCTATGTTGACAGTAAGGGCTGTTGCTGTGCACAAACAAGAGAAACACTTACGCGTTCATTGTCTGAACATTAACAGAGAATTAAAACAAATGTTTAATATAAAAAACAAAAAAGCAGGTGGTGCAAATTGGTGATACTACAGAGTACATTGTTGTCTCACAAACATAGCAAACGTTTAACATCTTGTAGTATTCCTGAGGTAACCATATTTATCAGGGCTCTAGAGTGCGACCAATTTGGTCACAAAAGCGACCTGATTTCCTAATAGTGTCACTAAAAAAAAGTCCGGTTGCACTGGTGCGACCAATCACTCGAGGAGGAGCGGTCGCCCGCTGAAAAAAAAGTTTCCATGTTCCATAAAAAATAATCCAGCAGTATCAATGGTCGCCCGCCGACAGTCTCCATCTCTCCTATACTGCGCTCTGCTCGCGGCTCCGCTCCACACCTCCCGCACACACACGTTTATTGTTCTATCCTCATGGGGACTAGGGCTGCCACGATTAATCGATTAATCGACAACTAATCGATTATTAAAATAATCGATGACTAATTTAATAATCGATTAATCGTTTTCTTTTTTTGTTGTTCTTTACTTTGTTTTTCTCTCCAAACTGCTTTGACACCTTCCACTGCCACATCTGCCTTTCTGTCCTTGACACACATGCACAGTAGTAGTAACTGGGGTAGGCCGTGGACGTCACAAGACATTATACAGACAGGCTCTGGTATCATGGCTACCTGACAACAGAGCTCAAAGTGTGGGATCATTTTAAGAAAATGAAAGAGAAACCTGTGTAATATCTGCAGAGCAGAACTTYCCTTCCACAGCAATTATTTTTAGTTAGCATATAGCTAAAATCTAACCATGGTTATATAATAGCAGCTGCATTCTGATGAGATAAGCTCTATGTTTTATTTTCAATTAACGTATGATCTGATTAGTCGACTAATCGAAAAAATAATCGGTGATTAATCGATTATTAAAATAATCGTTTGTGGCAGCGCTAATGGGGACTTTGCTTCCATTCATTTCCCCGTCAATTCTATAGCCAACCATAACCTCCCAGGTAGGCTACACACCTGACCCAAACCCTAACCTCTTGTCCCCACCATGAAGCAAAAATCTGTACACACGCGCGCACACGCATAGCAAAACAACCGTGTTTTTTGCCCCCACCCATATTGGAGTCTGAAAACCAGTTCGTTCTTGTTAACTGGAGATGACAACAAGATATGGATGGTTGCTCGCTCTTAAGTCCATCTTGTTAATTTAACAGTCGGGGTCTGCTCTGTGAGCGCTGCAGATCATTTCAGCAGCACGAGGAAGCTCACATGTATGGCAGGCTGCTTTTGCACTTATTCGACTTTACCACAGTTACATTCCAAGTATCTGAAATTGATTCTTCTGGGTCTCAGGAGGATAAAACTAGACATATTAGATATTTAAGTAAAATAATATAAGATAATAAGATTCAACTAATGCTAATGAAATTGCAGACTTTTATGTGTTATTATTTTTTTAAAATCTGCACAACCTTTTAATAAARATCAGTAATATTTCTGWTATTAATCAWTATTCTCTGTTCATCATTCTGGTTTATCCAAGGCCAAAGATCCAGAGGGCCAAACTACAGGAGTTGTCCATCGGAGGGGCAGGTGTCTAAAAAACAACCACGAAATGTTTAAGATGTTTTTAAGACGTTCATCCCTTAAACATTTGCACTTAGAATTTTATAAAATCACTTTAAATACTTTTCAGTAAGTTATAGGTCTTGTACAATTCTGGTTCAAATAAAGAACTTRATGTTTACTAGATTGTTAACTAATTATTTTCGAGTTAATGTTGCCTTAATGAACAGCGATTAAAAAAATAACCTGTAAAACTCTGTTGTTAAATGCAACGTGGTTGAAAAATTGGGTGCACCTAACTTTTGTGCTGGTGCGCCTAAGAAAAAATATTAGGCGCACCGGTGCAACCAGTGCAAAAAGTTAGTCTAGAGCCCTGTTCTCAGTGAATTGTTTTATGATTACACAAGATGGGTCTGTTGGGAGAGTTTGGAGGCTGGCTGATGTGTAAGCGTCAAAAGCCAGTACTATGATCCCCAGTTGTTCTATGGCTGCAGGTGTGGAGTGAGTGCTGCTACCAAGGCTGCAAAACACAGTCCAGTAACAACACATAACACAGACAAACACCGTGCACACCGTTCACTCACAGCCAAAATATATTCAATACTTTAGCATCAACCTGTTCTTCGTAATAAATCTGTTGTTTAATCCCACAACTGTGATTTAACACACATATTGTCATCATTTGATAACAGTGTTGAGCTGCAGCATCAGCTTACGGTTTGACTTCAACACCCATTGTTGACTTGGTTCATCCCGAAATCACAAGGTGACCAGAGGGTGTCTGAAGTGCTCAGTATGCTCCAATCGAACTGACGAAACCTGATCAGATTGTTTCAAGTGCATGATGAAAACTGAGTGGTTTTGTTTTCAGCTTCGAGTCTCGCACCCCTGCTGGACAACACGCTGGCCAAACTTTTTATTCCCTGCACAAAATAAATTACTGTGTGAATGGTCAATGGAGACGTGCACAGAGGAATCTGACAAAAACTGTGGAGCTTTAACCGGGACAGATTTGTGGACAAATAATATCAGGTAAATGAGTTTTCTTTTCCCCCCAGAGTGTAGAGTCCAGCAAGAAGAAACTTCATGTGTACCATGGTGGGAATGCTTTCCCAGAAGATCCGTGCATACTCTCAGGAGCTGTGTAAAAGTGTGTGTACGAAAACTATTGTCTAACTACCATGTGACTGCTCACCATCTAGATCAGCTGCAAATCAACCATACTGAGCACTTTAGTCCAGGCCTGAGGAGTCTTGTGAAAGAGCCTAATATTATCCCCTTGCAGACACATTACAGCTGGTACTTACAGACTGGCCCTTCTTGTGCTTGCGTCTGTACAGAACAGTCCAGTTGATCTGTCTGGGGTTTCTCTTAGCCAGGAAGGCAGACTCACACTTGGCGTTCAAAAACTGAAACACCTATTTCATTTAAAAAAAAAAAACATAAGATTAAAATGCAAACGTTACACAGAAAACCTTAAGTGATACCTAAACCTTATATTAACTGTAAGCTGTGTGTTAATACTTTAAATTACTTCAACATTAATAATGCGGTCAAGTCTTAGATGAATGCAATTATGTCAGTTATTGTACGAGGTGGTGAAACTAACTTTTACAGGCTACATAATAATACTTTCTTCCACAGAACTGATCAAACTAATACAAAAATTTTAGTTTTAAACGTGTCTAAGCTACATCTGACATCTCAGCTGCTCATGACGCCGGTAGCTAAAGTTAGCATGCTAAACAGCTTTCAACTCACCAACAGAGCATATCAGCACTGAGCTAAAAGTTAAACTTTATTCATGGCTAATGTGATTATTACATTTATACTGTATCCACAAACAGGAAGTAAAAGCTATGAAATGGTTGTGAAATAGCTACCTTTCCGTCTATCCTGGCGTATCGGCGGCCATGGCCGGGGTATATTTTATACCCGCTGAAACTGCACAACTCAACCCTGAAAACAACAAATGAAGCACATCATTAAAAAAACACTAAACACGATTCATCTTTATGTATGTAAAATATTCAGATGATGTGTTTAGAGGTTTAGATGGCTTTTGATTGTATTCGTAAGACTCACTTCATGATGGCTACGAGGGGGCTCGAAACCGGAAAGGACGATGACGGAAGCGGAAACAGAATTAGAGACTTTTAAAGTGACACGAAAAATATTTGTTTTGTGTTTTGTTTTTGTTTTTTTAGTGACATATCTACGGGAAACACTTGAAGCAATGTAACTTTGGCCAAAACACAACCTAATTAATGTTAAAATCTATTTGTGGACAAGCATGCGAGACAAATAGATATAAAAAAAACTAATTGTGATTTACAGATAAAAACATATATTTTAAAAAATCTATATTACAACCAGGATGTTTCTGTATTTTACGTTTTTTATCAAACCACTGTTCTTTCCTCACTGTCTGGAACTTGTTGGCGGGACACAGAATATCAGCGCGCTGTTGAAACGTTGTAGTTTTTCTGGAGCCAAAAGACCATACACCATAAAGGAAGAGRGCTATAGATTGCACTACATTTCCCAGAAGGCTTTGCGTCCTGGTCGCTCTCTTTCGTCCTTCCCACAGTTGCTAGCTAACGCTTGTGTTGTTTGGACCGATAAGATGGGTGTATCGGATTTGCAGTGCGATATAAATGATGGTAAGTGGGAAAAACCTTATTTTATGCAGACAAACATTGAAGACTCGCATTTTTTTATGGAAACGTCCTCGTTGCCTGCTTCAGAGCATTAAACTAGAAATGATAGCTTGTTTTTACGTTAAACAGACCAAAACATTTCGTGTCAGTTCTGTCATGCTTACAGTCTTATTGGGTTAAACACAAAAACAACGACATATTCTTCTACAAGTCCAAACAAATGTGTTGAAAAAGCAATATTTTAGTTACATTTTGCCCTTGATTGTCCTCTAGGTAATATGAGTGGTGATGATTTTGTCAGTCTGTATTTAAAATTTTACCTTGCTTTTTATGTATTCATAAGAATGAATTCATCTTAATGATTTTGTTCTTTATTCTGCCAGGACCTTTGGTGGATCTTTCAGCTAGGGGCATGCAGAAACTGGACCCCAGTTTCACCTGCTCRGAGGACACCCACACGCTCATCTTGGACCGGAACAACATCATGAAGCTGGACCACCTGGAACGATGCACCAGCCTTCAGCAGGTTGTACATTCATCGCCACACAAGAGTCACTTGGGATTCTGTTATTCTATTRTTTTGTTTTGATGTCTGATTGTACTGTCGTTGTGTTCTCCTGATCAGCTTTCTGTAGCCAACAACCGTCTGGTGAGAATGATGGGGGTGTCTCAGCTGACAGATCTGAGAGTGCTGAATCTTCCCAACAACAGTATCGGCTACATCGAAGGACTGCGAGATTTAGTTKATCTAAAATGGCTCAATCTGTCTGGAAACAACATTAAAGTAGGGAGAGATTCCTGCATCTTTTGCTAACATTGTAATTAATCCCCTGGAGGATAATTGTGTGACAGACGTCCTGATCTGTGACAGGTCGTTGAGCAGCTGAACAGCTGTGTCTCGCTGCAGCACTTGGATCTGTCTGACAACAACATATCTACCATCGGTGATCTGACTAAACTGGTGGCATTAAAGGTTGGTGCTAATATGTTATTAGAATTGTTCCCATTTATTATTTTTTCATCATCTTTCTTTGTTCACATTGCAGACACTGCTACTCCATGGGAACAGCATTACAACACTCCGTACTGTTCCTGCTCATCTTCCTGCTCATTTATCCATCCTCTCCCTGGCAGAAAATGAAATAAGGGATCTTAATGAGGTATTTATCCTTACTTATATTAATACAGTTATGATAAATAATGTAATAAAACATTTTGATTGACTAAAATGAATTTGATTGCACTTGAGATGTCCTATCTGGCGCCTCTTCATGAGCTGGAGCAGCTGTCTGTCATGTGCAACCCGTGTGTCATGGCGACGCCCTCGCTGCCGGTTTTTGATTATCGACCGTACATCATGAGCTGGTGCCTGAGCCTGAAGGTCCTCGACGGCTACGTGGTGACACAAAAAGAAGGGTGCGCTCATTGCTCTGCGGCTTCAGTTATGTAGTGAAGACACCACGGGTGTGTTTGAATCTCGTTTTGTATTTTTGCTGCGATTACAGTCTCAAAGCAGAGTGGCTCTACAGTCAGGGGAAAGGTCGCTCATATCGACCCGGGCAGCACGTCCAGCTGGTTCAGTACTTGGCCACCGTTTGTCCTCACACCGCATCACCAGCCATGGAGACTGCGGAAGACGCCAAACTGGAAAAGATCCTCAGTAAGCAGAGGTAGAAGCWTTAAACTGGCACTAAAACACATGAACTGTAAAACACCAGCACTCATTATGATGTTCCTAATCCCTCAACTTGTGTGTGTGTGTGTGTGTGTGTGTGTGTGTGTGTGTGTGTGTGTGTGTGTGTGTGTGTG